GCCCTTCAGTGGGTACTACAGACCATCCGTCTGCCGCCCTTTACCCCTCAACGACGCTGGGAAATTGGCCGTAAGGTTTCTGCGCAAATAAGAGTGGTCCTTGACTTTCCCAAGCGACGTGCGTTTCTACTACGCGCGAATGACGCAGAAACTTTCCCAGTCCTCTCCTCCAGCGCAGAGCACAGTGCGCACTGAGAGCCGCTGCTGTTTACTCTGCCCCTGAGCAGCACATTCCCCCGTCACTTTTCTCTGCCGAAGAGCAGAAATACTTACCCGGGCTCTTGGCTGGCCCCTCCGGGCGCTGTTGGTGGGTCTGGAGTTCCGGGTCTGGGTGTCGCATCGATCTCCGCTGCTCAGCGAAGATTTGGGTGGGGAGCAAAGAAAAAGCCCGGAGACTGACAAAGGATGGAATTGTGCCCTTGTTATCCCCCCAACAACGCACCCGGAGCCGCAGCAGCGCTTCGCTGAGATGGTTGGGGGTGGGCGGAGACCACAGTTTGGCCAGGAGGGATGGGGTGCTGCAAGTGAGTCATCGCTGCCCTAAGATAGAGGGCCAGAGCGCAGAAATCCTTCCGTTCTTCGTTAAGTTGTGTCCTCGCTGGGCATAAGTCAGGTGCCTGACCCCGGGTATCAGAACGCCTCTAGATCCCAAGATTGTAACCCCCAATTCCAGAACCTGGCGATTAGCACTGCGTGTGTATGTCAAGTTTGTAAACAGCCTTTACTCCTCCTCCTTCCACGCCTCCACACCCCGCTGAGTGGCTCCAGCGGTTGTATAAATATTTTGCTGCGCAGGACCTTAATTTCTATTGGGTGGTAACGGGCACGCGGATGTGTCAGGGGTAACGCTCTTTGGGAACTGAGGTCCGGGGCTCCAGAAACTACTGGTTGCACGGTGATAACCCCAAATTACCTTTAATTTACTATCTGGTTCTTTTTTCTGGAAAAAATGTCTGAATTTCATTTTAAATATATGCACACTATATCTCTTATGGATTAAGCCACTTCCCAAGCCCTCACTCCTTCAGTTTATCTTTCAACCCAAGATTTTCCTTACCACTTACATGAGGTAGTATTGTGCTGTTCTGGTAGAAATCTTTCGCTTTTTAGAATGAGATACAGAATGGGCCATGCCAACCGCCCTCTCCCCCACACCCAGCCAGTTACCAGTTTTCCCAAACTCTATCTCAAGTGTGTCACTCGCCTCTTACGAACACCTCAACCTTGATTCCAGCCCTCGGTCCTTTCTCTCTAGGACTGATTCCTAGAGAGGACAGTTCCATCTGGCTTTCTCCTTCACCCTTTTCCTGGAAAGCTGGGGCAGCACACATTAACAAGTAAGTCACCTGTTACTCACTGGGCTAAAGATCCCATCACTGCCCTGTCATCTTATTTCACATTGCCCAGTAAGCAGTCATGAACTCCTCTACGTGGCACTTCAGACCTTTTATAACAGACCTCCTCACATGGGCACACTCCAACTCATCTTTCAATCTTCCACAAATTCTGTGTTTCAATCTGCTTTTGCTCCTTTCTCTCAAGTTTCCTCCCATTCTAGTCTTACCTCATTCATTACCTTTGCACCTTTAAATTTACTTGATCTTCTCATGCATCTTCACACACGTAAATCACAAGTGTCATTTACTTGTCTTCTCTAGGAAGCCTCTTCCTAGTCCTTCAGACAGGCATCATCACAGGCATCATCGTCCCTCCCCAACTTCTCAGATCCTTAGCAGTATGTCTTATGATTGTGCTGCTGGTTGCACTTCGGTTCTTGGTACACATGTCCTGTCCCCTTCTCCTGCCATCAGCGTGTTTTACTCTCGTACTGAAGCCTTGTACATTGTGGGTCCTTAGTGGGTTCTTAGTTCACGTGTTTGAATAAATGGTCACCTTTGCCGAGGAAGGATTACTTTTCCATCAAGCAAACTAATGTGTGAGTTGGCAACAAGGTTAACTTGGCATCGTGTAGAAGTCTCATTGAACTTTGCTGAAGTGCCTGGTGCTATATGTCCATAATCTTACTCAAATCCTCACAACAACTCATTTTAAAGATGAAGACTCTGAGGCTTGGAGAGTTGGAGACGTTCAGGGTCTCATACAGTTGGTTTTTGGTAGAATGGGGGTCTCATACAACCTCCTTGACAATATCCATAAAGCATATTTCAAAGCTCTGTAATAAAAGGCATTGGAGTAGATAGAATAGCTTCGTTTTTGACTCAGTACTGACATTGTTTAGCCACTTTTTGACGATTGAAGAGGAACTTTGCACAAGTCCCTTCTTTCTGGCCTTAGTTTCCCCTTTTACCAATCCAAGGTGCCATATTTTCATGAAATGAGCTCCCCGGCTCTTTTCAAATACTTTTGCCTGTGTCTTGTAAGCTTCAGTGATGTACGTTTCGTTTCCTCCTCTGTGGCTCACAGAGGACTAGTGTTGCGCTCTGAAAGCCGGAAGAGTTGGTTGGGTGAGAATGAATTTGTCAAATATCTTCTTGGGTAGCCAGCTACTCTTCTTTTAGTTTGACCACCCCAAAGCTGTCCCTTCCTTAAGTCAGTGGCTATGGATCATGGGCAAACTATTCATTTCTTAATTTATGCTTTTTGAGAAAAAAAAATGAAACCATTCTCTGGGGGACAGAATAGGTGGATCATGAGGTAAGTACGCTAAGTAAGAAAGTCAAAGGACTTTTTCTTTTTTAATTAATTTGTTTCATTTACTTGTCTTTATAACTTGGGGGCTACATCTTTACTTCTCCTGACAGACACATGATTCACTCATTCGCCACCAAACCCCTAGTGCCAATTTCCTATACCCTTCTGCCTCTGTCCCTGTCCCACTAGGAACCAGCATATTTTTCCCAAAGTCTAGGAATTGTTTCTTGTGTGTGTGTGTGTGTGCGTGCGCTTTTTCAGTATATGTTTTTTGATTACTTATATTCCACAGATAAGGGAAAGCATCTGATAGTTGTTTTTTTTTACTTTCTCACTTGGCATACTCACCTCAAGTTCTACCCATTCTGTCCCAAAGAGCCCTATTTCGCCTTTTCTTTTTTTTTTTCTGAAAGTTTTTTAAAAATAGTTTCTTGACCTATCTCTGGAAACCCTGAATCTTTATGTATGGTCTAATGCCCAAATCGCTAACTCTGTAAAAATCTTTCCAGGCTAAGGTTTGGAAGCTTTTGTGTTTTACCTACCCTCATATGTTCAAAAATTCACCACATAAGAATACACTAGAATCTCATTAAATTGCCAGTTCCTGCACCTTGCCACTGAAATTTTCAGACATTAGATCAGATCTGGGTTGGAGTCCAATTATTTGAATTTTGAACAAACTCTTTGAAGACACTAACGTTGTCAAGGACATTCAAGGTCAGTCAGGAAAAGGGCATCTGCTTGTTTTTTGTTTTGTTTGTTTTGCCCCATGTGGGAAAAGAAATAATGGTGGTTTTCTCCCTTAAACTCTGCCCATTAATATGGTATAGGAACTTTCCAGTATTCTTATAATATTTGATTTTGGGTGATTTAGCCTCGCACATAATTTTTCATTAGGAAAACTAATAAGTATGTAGGAGGGACAGGAGAAAGAGTTTTCCTCTTCACTGTGTTTAGAATGTTTGGGAAAAGCAAATTGTGGTCTGTTGGTTAATGACCACCACCAAAGCCACTAATATGTTCTAAGCCCTTAAAAGTTATCACTTTGTTAAACATTTTACATACAGTCTCTTATTCAGTCTGCAGTATTACAATACATATTTCTGATCCCCAGTTGATAAGGAAGCTGCATCTCAGAGTAGTCAAGGGACATGCTAAGGTAGGTAGGTAAAGGTGGGACTATGGCCTGAAACATAAGATAGCCTCTCTCCAGAACCTTGCACCCTATCAAAGGAAAGGGGCAGTGACTCGTGTGCCCAGGTCATAGGAGGCATGTCATCGTTTCAGTGAGGTAGGTATATTTCTGTTGTACAGATAGGGAAGCAAGAGAAAGGATGGAGACTATTATCAGCTGATAAGTAACAAAATCAGGATTTGAACTAATGGGTTTAAATGTCTGGTGGTTGAGATATGGTTCCTGAATTTGAACTCAGAAGACTTCCAGGAGGGCAGCTCTTCCCCTCTGGGGTTCACACCAGTCCCAAGTTTCAAGACTCAAAAACTCTCTTTCAGCAGCCTATAGGAATTAGTATGATTAGAACTTGAGAACCAACGAAGTATTTCTTAGAGACATATTTGGGTAGCAGGTGCCAGGGCAAGGTGCTGATGTGGCAGAGAGTGGAAATAAACTGTTTTTCCAAATATGTCAGCAGCAGTTTCCCTTGAAGCAGCCCTTGGGGAAAGCCACTGGGTGAAATGGTACTTCCTCAGCTTGGCATTTTCCACAGTTATTGTTTCCCCAATAACTGAATTATATTAAATCAACTTCACGTCTCTCTTCTTTGCAGCTGGGCACATTCCGGTCCCATGATGGGGATTATTTTATTGAACCACTACTGTCCATCGATGAACAAGAAGATGAAGAGGAGCAAAACAAACCGCACATTATCTATAGGCGCACTACCCCTCACAGAGAGCCCTCCGTGGGAAGGCGTGTGTGTGACACCTCAGGTATTTGCTTCTTGCTTACGCAGCGGTCCTGACTCTGAGATGGTTTCATTTCCACCCTACAAAGATGCTTCTCTTTCTCAGCCTACAAAGTACTTTATATACATTCTCTTTTTTTTTTTTAAGATTTTATTTATTCATACAGAACTGGGGTACAGGCCAGAGGGTGAGAGGAGTCACCAGAGACAGAGCAGGGAGCAGAACAGGCAGATCTACGAAGTACACTGCTGAGGGGAGCAGCGGGATTGTCAGGAGAGTTCTGCCACACCATGTGGATCTCCTCCAGGACAGGCAGGGATCGAACTCATGCGGAAGGGGCTGGGCTTTAGCTTCTTAGTGCTGTGCTTTAACCTGCTGCGCCACCAGGGAGGGCCCTACATTCTCTTTTATTTAATTTTCCAGCAAGGTAGGTATGTTCTCACTGGATCTCTGGGAAATCTAAAGGGAGCCTTAGTGACTTTTAGCAGCTGACAAGTGACAGTCAGGATTTGCACTCAAATAGCAGTGGCTCATAACTTATTTTGGGTGCAGCTGCCTCTTGGTGGAGTTGCTAATTTTTAGGATCAAACTTTAGTAATATTTTGAGGCTGTGATAGCCATATCCCCCCGCCCCCCGATCAGCAATTGCATGTGTTCTCTTGGTACTTTTTACTTAGCTGCGTTTTTATATTTTGTTTTGTTTTATCATGTTGGATTGCAACCAAGTCTACAAATGACACTATCAAAAACTTCCCCATGTCTACGGAGCTTTATTATCAACTTCAGTTTAACTATTGATTTATGGGTTTTGGAAATATGGGGATGGAATTGTTGATGGCACTGTCAGGTTTCAGTCAATTTAGACTTTGCCTGCCAAGACTAGCCGGTGGAGGGTGTGTGTAGATTCCTTCGTCCTGGCCAAACGATTCCTTGAGGGATTATGCTGACATGCTTAGTCAAGAGGTGTCATTCTGGGTGCTTCAAGAAACATATGCTTGTCTGTGCTTCCCAATCTGCAATCTTGAAGCAATCCTGTCTTTGAAGCCTGGTTACTTCCTCCCTGATGATAGCTTATCATTAGCAATTATCCCCTAGTTTGATCCTGTTTTAGTATGCTGGTTAAAATACTACTTTTATTCTTGGAATT